AAATCTTATACAAAATGTGTGACTATGTTGTGTTCAAACTTAAGCAGCGAATAAAATGTATTAACTGTTTCAAACCCATTCAAACCTATTGCGTACTAGTCTAGATTTTCATCCTAAAAGCGACTTTGTAAGGACTTGTAAATTTCTTGAGAGAATTCTTGTTTCAGTCTCGGATGAAGTATTTCAACTCTTAAAAGCTGTAAAATTAGTTCTGCATGGCACAAAGAATAAAGTTAAAGATGTAGGACAAGCGTTAAAAGAAAAACTGGAACACCATTTGAGAAGAGAATTTACTATTTTCACCATTAGCACTTGCCATAATACGAAGGATCTTTTAATTTCCAGGTATTGCAGTATGAGGTTGTATCAGATATCTTCAGAATTAAACAGTTTTTTTGTCAAAAAGGTAGTATATTTGCCTTTGATAGTAAGAACATGGGATCAAGACTCTGATCATTTTAATCCAGTAAAATAAAGTAGAGTCAATTGCAATATAGTATCAATTAGTATAAAATAATGCAACTGTGTGCAATGCATATGCTTTTAAAGTAAATGTTTTGTGATAAATAATGGACTTACAAGAAGAGGGCGCAAACTTGAGATGAAATTCTCACGGATTTTGATGCCCTTTTTTCTGGTAAAGTACTCGACTAATAGAGTACTTGGGCAAAGCGAGACGACGCAATGCTCAGCCGGTTTTGAGAAAATTTATTTAAAAAATACGGCGATGAGTAACTACCAGTGACTTTAGACTAGTCAGTGTGAAGGCGGCGTAGCGCAGGTACTAGAGTGATTATCACGCTGCGAACTAGGGTTCGATTCTTGTTCGACAAAAATTTTTTTTTAATGTAATTGCGTACAAAGTATTTATTTATATAAAAACAGCTTAATATTTCTTTATTAAAAAGTATTTAATGTTATCTTAAAAAATTAAGGTTTTTTTTATTTATATTCGTGTAACTTTGTAACAGCTGCTTTTCGCGAGCGTCGGACTGCTCAGTCGGGATCAGGGCTCGTGAAAGAGTCGACAGAACTCCGTGGGTTTTAATACTGATACAACCGTTTATTCGTGTAAACAATTACACCGCAATAATATACAAAATAGAATCCGAGCGCGAGTATGCTTCAAAATATACTTAGAGCGCGAGTAACATAATAAATAGAAGCAGCGCGCGAGCTGCATACGACAGAAAATCACAGTGCGAAGATTACATAACACGCAATATGCGCAGGGCGTGAATTACATACACTCACAGCTGAATAGAATCAGAGCGCAAACCGCATAGGGCGCATACGACATAAAATCAACACGCAAATATGCTATAATACAAAATATACTCAGAACGCGAATAACATACAATCGAAACTGAATAGAATCAGAACGCGAATCGCATAGGGCGCATACGACATAAAATCAAAACGCAAATATGTTATAATATAGAATACATTCAGAGCGCGCGTAACATCATAAATGTAAACAGGTTGCGGATGCACCGGCGCGTAGTATTGTAGAATAGATCGGATGCGATCCCGGTGTGTAGGCGCATTTTCCCGACAGACAGAATCTGCCGTTGACAGGTGTCAAGGCGGGTCGAAATCGCGCAGGTGGGGAAACCGAGACCGATGGCCGCGGGGCCACTTTCGGCGTTAACGCCGAACGTGTGGGTATAAGAAATCGGGGGTGTAACGGTTGAACGACGCGTTGAACGACGAAATGGGGTACGGCACGTACCCCCCACGCGGGACGGTCGGTCGGGTAGATGCGAGAGAGTGGACGGCGCGTCGAGGAAAATCGCAAGAGGATTCTCTCGCGGGAGAATTTCATTTATTCTCCGGCGTACCACCGCCGAACTGCAGGTAGTATCTATATAACATCAGACATTCTATGAATATGTATATTTTCTCCATGACATAAAAATAATATCTTGTATATAAAATGTTTATACATTTTATATACATGATTTGGATATACATTACAATATATAATATGTATATTTATTAATGTATTTGATATGTATATATAGTAAATGTATGTTAAATGTATATCAAATGCCTATACATAATATGTACATATTTTGTTGTATGTAAGATGCATATACATTACTGTACATTATACATACATACATTATGCTAAATTTAAATATATACATAATACATATATGCTTTGCTGTACATAAGATGTATATGTGTTGTTATCTATTATATAATATGTACATACATTATGCAATTTATAAATACATACATTGCATATACATAATATGTATATACTTTACAGTACATAAGATATACATGCATTATATATATATATATATATAAATTATAATAAATCTCTCTCTCTCTAATGTAAATATGTATGTATATATATTATATTTAATAATATATATAATTAAATAATATTAATATAATATGAATATTATATTAATATTATTTATATTTATATAATATATTATAATAATTTTTGTATATATTATTTATAGTACGATCATATACATGATTGTACAGTCAATTATATATATGACTGTACTGTAAAAATGAACTTTGAGATTTTTGTTTATATGAACTTTTTTGATGAGTAGAATGCGATTCCTAAAATAGCAACTCACTTTTAAGAGACACCCACTCTAACAGCACAAATGTTCGAAAGACGTTTAAAGAATATCTCTAGAATGTTGCAACATGTCATATTGCAATATAATAAATTATAATAATATTATAAATATATTATAAATATATTATAAATATATTATAAATATATTATAAATATAAATAATATTAATATAATATATAAATTATATGTATACATTTATATTTTAATTAATAATGTGTATATGTTATAACATTATATATATATATATATATATATATATATGTTCTAATATATACATTATTAATTTATAATATTATATTATATATATTTAATATATTATTGCGTATATATATAATTATAATAGTAAATAAATTGTCAGCATCTTCAATTATCAATTCTATTATTATAATAGAGAATTTATTATATCAGTATCAATAAAGAAACTTTAAATATGACCGCGCGTACTGCGATGCGCGATTCACATTTGTCTTATCTTCTTCTTCTTCTTCTTCTTCATGGTAAGCCGGGACCATGTTCTGTGCGAGACCTCGTGCTGCCTGTCAACTCTTTTCGCGCTAAAAGTTTCTGTTGTATAATATACATACTTTATATATTATATTTGTTTATTGTGTATATAATTAGTGGACGAAACTTTCCTTTTCGAAGTAAGTACGACATATTATATATGTAGAAAATATATAAATAGATACTTGATACTCGAGCATTTCTGTTTTTAGTCTAATCTAATAGCCATGAATAGGTCAGAGACAAGGAATAAAATACAGTTTCATAGAAAGCTTACAAATAAAATTAACCGGTCTCTAGCATTAATTAGCAACAATTCAGTGTTATCTTGTGATTCTCTATCTGAGAATTTTACGATTCTCATAATATTAATAACATTAGAGAAATCGCAGACGATAATATTACTAATGATAGTGCAAATAATGATATAATGATTCTAAAATTAAACCGATATATTCCTCACGAGTTTTCCAGGAAAACACGTTCTATACTTGAGTGTAAAAGGTATAAAGCTACGGAATTTAGATTATTTTTGCTATATACTGGTCCTATAATTTTAAAAGAAGTTCTATCATCCAAAGTCTACAATAATTTTATTACATTAAGTCTTGCAAGTTCTATAATAATCAGTCAATATTATTCTAGATTTGAAAAATATGTGTTATATGCTCATAGTTTAATGAAGATTTTTATTTGTCAATCTATTAAAATTTACGGTCCAGACTTTGTATCGCACGACATACATAACTTCTTGCATTTAAGTGACTGTGTAAAATTATATGGCTCACTTGATAATTTTAGCGTTCCCTTTTAAAAATTATATGCAGCAATTAAAAAAAAGGTTCGTAAATCTGCTTTGCCTTTACAATAAGTCGTACATCGTGTATTTGAGGAAAGTAATATAAGTCCAAATGTTTCCTCTAATATTATAAACAATGATGTTCCTGTAAAACTATTTGTTCGCGAACGCGCTGCGTAAGAAAGGGTCGCGCGGCACAAAGGATGAGTCACTTTTTTTATCAAAAGAATTTAATTCTTTAACACACTTAATAACAAATACACTTTAACAAACTTCATACAAATGTTAATTATTTTACATTGAAATCGTAATCAAAAATCAAAGTGCGGAATAAGCGGCGGTCGTCAACGAAATTTTAGCGGTTTATCAAGTATGCGGTTCACGGCGGAAAAGCGATAAGGCTGCTGAGCCGGGTGTGAGCTCTTCTTTTATAATTTTTAGGATGGAGCCCACCTTCGCGTAAAGCGCCAATAGTTTTGCGGATTTTAAACGTTGCACGAGGTGACCTGAGCACATTACGCGTAATTGGCCGCTGTCAAAATCAACGGGAAGACGGCTGGCAGAAAACATGCGCGAGCGGGCGATCGCGATAATTATTGGTGAAAACGAGGCGCCCGTGATAAGCCGCGCATGCTCGCTGAAAATAATTATTCGGCGGAACGGTTGTGGTACCGTTAATTGTTGATGTTTTGAGAAGTTTTTTCCGAAACAGATTGATTTATGTCGCTGTGTTTTCTCCTCGAAAAACATACAAAAACGATTTGCTGTAAATATCGATTGGTCTAGAATCTTCTAAAATATTCTGTTCAAATATAATATTCTATTACGCGGATAATATTTTCTGATGCGTTTAGAACATTCCCGCCCGCCTTGTCGCGCAGTGACAACAAGTTGTCGAATTTCGGCCGCGGAATCTTAAGTCGATAATGTGGTGCGGAGCGATCAGCCGCGAGAGTGAAAACGCATGTTTGATGTGCAATAAATGGTGTGTAGTGCAATGCGGTGATGATGAGAAGAATAAGGTGCGGCAAATGTTACAGCGCATGTGATGATTATGTGGTGAAAGAGTGTCGCGAGATGAGAGATGAGTTACGTGCCGGCGGGCGGCGTGTCCGCGTTATTCATGCCCGGAATACCATCCGCGCCCGGTAGCATGACCAATTTAATAATCGGGCGCACGAGTTCTGATGTGGCGGTGCGGACTGAGACCACGCGGACGATACCGTCGTCCCCGGGATGCAGTCTCGTGATCCGCGCGAGAGGCCATCGGGTCGGCGGGGTGAGCTCCGAGCGGATGATGCAGAGGTCCCCGACGTGAGGTACGGACTCGGCCTTGAACCATTTGGTGCGGGGGTTGAGGCCGTGCACATACTCAGCCGACCACCGCTGCCAAAAATGGTCTCGCATCAACTGCAGGTGACGCCAGCGTGACAGCGTGGAGGTTGATTGACCCGTCAGCGATGGCTCAGGTACCGCGAGTAACGGTGCTCCGATGATAAAGTGGTCTGGTGTGAGCGCCGAAGTGTCGTCTGGATCGTCTGATAGAGCCTGTAACGGACGAGAATTAAGACACGCCTCTATTTGTGTGAGGAGTGTACTAAGCTCCTCAACGTAAGAGTAGTTTCGCCGATTACTCGACGGAGATGAAATTTCGTAGATTTTACGGCAGCCTCCCAAAGACCACCGAAGTGAGAAGCCGCTGGCGGATTAAAATGCCAGCGGATCCCCTGAGTGCTGGCGGCGCGGGCGATGTGATGGCCCTCGGAGGTCGACGCCTTGAAAAGCTCACGTAGCGTGCGATCGGCGCCAATAAATGTTGTGCCGCAGTCGCTGTAGATGTCCGTGCACAGACTTCTGCGAGAGACGAAGCGGCGTAAGGCGGCGATGAAGGCCTCGGAGTTGTAATCCGAGACGACCTCGAGATGGATAGCCTTTGACCAGAAACATATGAAGACTGCAATGTATCCCTTCTGTGAGCGGTGTCCGCGTCCTTTGCTGGTCCGGATAGAAATGGGTCCCGCGTAGTCCAGGCCAGTACTCAGGAATGGTCGAGTCGGCGTCACTCGGTCACGAGGAAGGTTGCCCATAGGAGGTTGTGGAGTGGCAGCTCGCCAGCGCGTGCAAGTGACGCACCGATGCAACTGCTGCTTGACGACGGTTCTTCCACGTGGCACCCAGAATCGAAGGCGAAGTAAGCTGAGAGTCATCTGGACGCCGCCATGCAGAGACCGACGATGGCAGGACTCAATTAGCAGTCGCGTCATCCAGGAGGCTGGTGGGACGATCACCGGGTGCTTTTCGTCGTAGGGCAGCAGAGCGTGCTTGAGGCGTCCTCCGACGCGAAGCACACCTTGGTCGTCGAGGAATGGATTCAGCTTGACCAGTGAACTGCGTGGTGGACCGGGCCGTCCTGCGGTAGCAGCAGCTACCTCGTCAGGGAAGTGGAGCGCCTGCACCACTCGAAGCCACTGAAATAGAGCGGCGTCTAGCTCGTCAGGATGCAGCGGGCGACCAGATGTGGCTTCCCGGCTTGCCAGCTTGAGCCATCGACGACACCAAGCCGTAACGCGCAGTAGCTGATGAAGTGCGGAGAACCGCAGCAGGATGTCCGGTTCGATGATGACGGAACTCCTGGTTATCAGGCTGGTGGTGCGTTGTTCTGGAAGGTCGTCCTCTGAGATGTCGACCTCTGAGTTGGGCCACGCCGTTTCGTCCAGTGTCAACCAGGTAGGTCCTGTCCACCATAATGCGTGGTTGATTAATTCCTCAGGAGTAATTCCTCTTGATGCGCAATCTGCAGGATTGTCTTTCCCGGCTACGTGCTTCCACTGAGCGTCCGGGAGCTGTGTTTGGATATGAGCTACCCGGTTGGCGACGAAAGTTTTCCAGCGGGTGGCGTGTCCCTGGATCCAATGGAGGGTGACCTTGGAATCGGACCACAAGTACACTGGAGTAGACGCCAAGCCGAGCGTGTTGCGAACATGCAGCGTGAGCGTGGTGAGTAGATCAGCAGCGCACAACTCCAGGCGAGGCAGTGAAACTTGCTTGACGGGTGCGACCTTGGATTTCGTCATGAGCAAAGTAGTTGATGTTTTCCTGTTTTCAGAGTTGCGGAGGTAAACCGCTGCGGCGTATCCTCGTTCGGAAGCGTCAGCGAAGCCGTGGAGCTGCAGCCTTGAGTGATTGTCGCCGGTGCTGAGCCAGCGATTAACTCGTATGTTGCTGAGCAGAGGTAGCTGGTTCAGCAGTTGTTGCCAACGTTGAACATCCTTGACAGGCAGTGGAGCGTCCCAGTCCAGCTGCTGAAGCCATGTGGTCTGGATCAAGATCTTCGCCCGAATCACGACAGGCGCAAGCCAGCCCATCGGGTCGAATAGCCGTGCAGTCTCGGCGAGGACTCGTCGCTTCGTGAATTCTGTGACTGAACGTGGATGTATGGCGAAGGCAAACCAGTCATCTTGAGGATGCCATCGCAGGCCCAAGGTCGAATGGCTCTCTCCGTCCCATAAATGCGGTCCTTGCTGCAGCCGATGCTCTTGAGGGACTCCCGCGAGGACTTCGGAGTTATTTGCGGCCCACTTCCTCAGTGGAAATCCGCCCGCCGTGCACAGTGGCGTAGCTCCGTCTGGAGGTTGATGGCATCGTCGAGGTTGTCTGCGCCGGTGACCACGTCGTCGACGTAGCAGTCTCGCCGAAGTGCTGTGGCCCCTTGAGGAAATTGCGTCCCCTCGTCTGCACAGAGTTGCCGCAGCGTTCGTATGGCCAGGAAAGGTGCACAAGCCATGCCGTAGGTCACTGTTAGCAGCTCGTATTCTTGGATTTCGTCCGTCTTGTTGTGACGCCACAGGATTGTTTGAAGACGGCAATCCTCAGGATGTACGAGGATTTGGCGGTACATTTTTCTACGTCGGTGACAAATACGTACCGGTGCCAACGCCATTGCAGCAACACGTCGTTGAGCGCTGGCAGAAGATTCGCCCCAGTCAACAGTGAGAGTTCAACGAAGTACCGGCCCGTGTGCGTTGAGAGCCGTTGAATACGACTCGGAGTTTTGTCGTCGTGCTCGACTTCTTCAGGACCCCGTGATGCGGTAAGTAACACTTGAGATCATCCGCTGTCGTTACAATGTTGACTCTCTTCATGTATTGTAGGTCTTCGAACTCCTGCATGAAGTTACGATAGAGGTCGCCAAATCGAGGATCTCGGCTGCCTTTGGTCTCCATGGCTCTCAGGAGGCGCTCCGCTGGTCGGCGAGTCTGTGAAGATTCGTCGGCGGTGATGAAAGTGGCAGCCTCACGATGTACCTCCCGGTGGACGTGCGTGTGACGGTGCGCACATATAATTCCTCGCACTTAGCTTCCTCGGGAGTAAGTGGAGCCGAATTATTGGCTCGCTCTCCTGCTCCCAAAAGCGTCGAACGAGGTCGGTGAGATCGTGATCGGCGATGCACCGGAATGTGCGGCGATGTCCGTTGGTTGTTGTTGCGTCGTAGCCGCCCGGACAGGATCCATCCCAGGCTGATCTGCTGGGCGATCGGCATCCTTGAGTCACCCTTGCGGAGACCTTCCTCGAGGATCAAGGAGTAGACCTCGGCTCCCAGCAGTAGCTCAGCTGGGTCGTCGTCAGGAAGCGAGGATTGGCCAGCTGGAGTCCGTCGAGATGAGGCCAGCTGCGTTCTTCTCGCGAGACTGAGCCTTGTTGCAACGATATGCGGGGCAGCACAAAAGCCACCCGCGGAGCTCGGCGTTGGTCACGTCTGACGTGACGTGCAGCGTGACCTTGCCACGAGCTGATTCTGAGTGGGTCCCTCCGATTCCGAAGATCGAAAGATTCGTCGAGACTCGAGGCAGGCGGAGACGTTGCGCCAAGGCCTCAGAAATGATCGACACCTCGGAGCATTGGTCGATCAAGGCGCGTACGGTGTATGGTGAGCCGTACCGATCGGCAATGTTAAGTCGAGCTGTAGCAAGAAGAACAGCCTTATGATCTCGATCTTGAAGAGTCGTGGTCAGTGTAGTGGCGCGTGACCTCAGCTGCCTGTGAAGACGTGGTCGCTCCGTGCAACGTAGTGTGGTGTCGTGCGTCGCACGTAAGGCAGTTCTTCTTCGACTGACAGCGAGATACGAGGTGGTTTCCTAAGCAGTTGTAGCAGAGCTTGTTCGTCTCTACAAATGCTTTACGCTCGTTGACGGTCTTGGCCTTGAAGTCTCGGCAGGTCATCAAGGTGTGCCTTTCACGACACAGTGTACAGTGCGGCGGCTCAGCTCCTTGCTGCTTAGTGAAGTGAGTCTTGGCAATCCGTGAAGCCTCTCCGGGCGGTTTGCTGATGCTCTTCGGTCGTGCGGCATTGAGCGTCAGGATCCGTCGGCTGATAAAGTCCACGAGTGCCTCGTTTTGTGCCGGCTCTGATGAGTCTGACGTGGACGACTCCCATTCCAGACGCGTGCGTGCGTCAAACAATTCGGTGACTAGGAAGTTGAAGAGGTCCATTCCGTGGGTGTTAATTGGACGTCCAATGCTCTCCTGACCATTGACGGCGGCAGTAACGGCGTTGTGAATGCGTCTCAACTCCTCTGCGGTATCTCCTTTATCTTTGGCACGGCGATGAATGTGGCAAAGTTGGAGCGGATCAATTCCTTTTTATTGTTATAATGTTTGTCCAGGATCGCCCAAGCGCGATCATAATTGTCACTGGTGACAGGTAACGACTTGATTAATTTTTCAGCCGGCCCTGTCAAGCATGAGCGGAGGTGATGAAAGCGCTCGATGTTGGAGATCGCATTGCCACTCACGACGGAGAGGAAGAGATCTCTGAATGACGGCCAATCTGCGTAGGCACCAGAGAATGGCGGTACTTTGATGCGCGGCAGTGACGACCTTGGCGTGGCGTCGGCAGAAGGAGGTACGCTCGATGCACGAAAGTGTTCAGCGTAGCCGTCAAGTATGCTTCTTTGATTTACATACAGATTCTCCGTATCAGCGTGCAATTCTGACTTAAAATAATCGCTCTCGCTCGCTGAACTTTTCTTTTAAGGCTGCTCGGATAAGATCGTGCTGCGCTTCGAACTTCGTCCACAGCTGATCCAAAATTCTGGTGCGTGTGGCGATAGCACTGGTAGTGATATTGGAACTGCCCAGCTTCTTCAAGTACTCCACGGAACGTGAGATGCGGATTTGAATCTCACGCTGACAGTCGACCAGCGTGGGTACATCCATGATGGCTGCACACACATATGCTCACTTTCTTCACCACACGAAGAGTCACGCTGCGAAATTGCGGTTGCCGGTGCGAGGTCTCCGGCTCGAAGGACCCAAAATATGTTCGCGAACGCGCTGCGTAAGAAGGGTCGCGCGGCACAAAGGATGAGTCACTTTTTTTATCAAAAGAATTTAATTCTTTAACACACTTAATAACAAATACACTTTAACAAAACTTCATACAAAATGTTAATTATTTTACATTAAAATCGTAATCAAAAATCAAAGTGCGGAATAAGCGGCGGTCGTCAACGAAATTTTAGCGGTTTATCAAGTATGCGGTTTCACGGCGGAAAAGCGATAAGGCTGCTGAGCCGGGTGTGAGCTCTTCTTTTATAATTTTTAGATGGAGCCCACCTTCGCGTGAAGCGCCAATAGTTTTGCGGATTTTAAACGTTGCGCGAGGTGACCTGAGCACATTACGCGTAACTGGCCGCTGTCAAAATTCAACGAGAACGACGGCTGGCAGAAAGCATGCGCGAGCGGGCGATCGCGATAATTATTGGTGAAAACGAGGCGCCCGTGATAAGCCGCGCATGCTCGCTGAAAATAATTATTCGGCGGAACGGTTGTGGTACCGTTAATTGTTGATGTTTTGAGAAGTTTTTCCGAAACAGATTGATTTATGTCGCTGTTTTTTTAAACAAAATAAATAAACATAGGGACGCTTCTAAAACACTTCATAAATACATTTATTTTATAAATTTATTATTTTGCATGTTTTAA